TTACGCGTAAAAAAATGAAAAGTTATGGCTTAAATTACAATTTATATTAAAACTATCAGTTTGAAAATAAATATATTTTGATATAAATTCAAAAAATAATTTAATAAAACTATATATAAGCTATTTTTTCTTACCTAATATTATAATGATCACGAGAAATAAAATTATGGTTAAAAATTATTTATTTAAAACTATACCGTTATTTATTAACATTTTCAAGAATATTATATATTATAACATACTCTTCATTTATAAAAAAAATGAAAAGTTTTTAAGATAAGTGAACAATTTTGTTTTACTTATTATATATAATATCAGCCAAACTAAATAAAAAAATGTTTTTAATTTTTAAGCTTATATGAGACTTACAAGAAATATACGATATAATGACGATAATTATGATATTCAAGCTATCAATTTTCGACTTAACAATTTGAAACTTAAAAATTTATTTTATTAAAATTTTATTTTCACAAAATATCTATTTTAATGTATATAATAAAGTTATAAGGGTTCACATTAAAATTTCGATGGTCAACTTGAATCCACCCTATTGTATATATATATATACATAAATTAGGATGTTCCTTATTTTTAAAATGTTGGGAATTCATTCAGAAGGGATAATTTTTTTAGTTTTTACCGAATAATCCATAAAATAGTGTTTTTCCTTAAAAAATTATTGGAATAAAATTATAGATCTAGTTGTTTTACATAAATTAAGTTTTAACAGTTTTTCTTCTGAATCTATTAGTTTTCCTGAAAAATGTCAATATGCGTAATATTTTGTAAAATTGTCGAAATTGGCACATTTATGATTTTATCATATCTGATGAACCATATGTGATACAACCTAATGTTTTATACAAAAATTGTTTAAAATTAAATTTTACAAAATATATTTAATAAGTAAAAATTTCACTGTATCAATCGTTTCACTAATATTAATTTATTCTAAGTATCCCTTAATTATCTTTTTATTATAATTAGGCGTACTTAATAAAAATTTTAGGTAGAGCTATTCGAATATTTTTTAAAATTAAATAAATAAATATTTCATAGTTTATGCTGAAAATATACTATTAGGTTGCATAAAAAACTAATCGAATAGTTATTCGATAGTTTTAAAATACTCGAAAATGACCATTACAAATCATAATACATAACTTATATGCCTTTAATTAATTAATTTATAATATATAAAATAATTATTTTTATTTAAAATTAATTATGCCTAACGCTAAATTATTTTGTTATTTAACTTTATTATTATTAAATTTGATCATTATTAGTCTATTTAAGTTTTTAATAATTTTTATTATAAAAATAATTCATGAGCAAAACTGAAAAACAGGTTCTATTATAATAACGCAAAAAAACCAGAACGAGTAGTATGTTTTACACAAACTTATTCCTGTTTCAAGGGGCTGGAAACGTGTAGTCAGTATTAATTATCATTTTATTAAAATGGAACAATGACGTTGTGCCTCATGCAAATATTGTTTATACCAGTTGACTGCAATTATTGTATATATTCTTATCACGTGACCAGTTTATCGTGCTAGATAAAATATATTGACGGCCAAGGTTGAGAATATTTTTCAAAGTATAAATTATATAACAAAAATTTAATTAGTGATTAATAAAAATAGATGATTACCAACACCATTTTACTTAATAATAATTTTTATTGACGTAGGTATAAAATATTAGTACAGATTAAGGATCCAGTAAATTTTTCAAGAATTTTCAAAGGAAAAACTTTAAAAAATAGCATCCAGCATAGTGGGATTATAATTAAACTAATAAAGATTTAAATTTAATGGTATGTAAAATTACTATAAAAAACGTTTTTATGCCAATGAGCATGAAAATAATTTTACATTAAAGGAATGGTTAAGTGGAAAAAATTAACAAAGAATAAATTTGAATACAAATATTTGTCATTTTATACTTTAAGATAAATTTTCTTAATTTTAGGGAGTTATTTTTTAATAGGAGAGATAAGCCACTACTACTCACCCATCATCTATAATGACGTAAACTTTAATTTTAAAATTAAAGAAAATACAATAGAAATTTATTTGATGCAATGTCCTTCAGGGTAGTTGGTTTATTGTTAATTTTTTTTAATCTAAAAAATTATAATAAAATATAAAAAAATAACTTTATTCTGAGGAATTCGAATCATAAATCCGTTTTAGCTATCTTAAATATAAATATTGTATCATACCTAAAAATTAAAAATATAAAACTAAAATTATTATAGTTTATAATTTTTTTTATGTAAATGCTAAAAGGTTTAATTGATTTCAGTTTATAGGAAGACGTTGCACATTTAAATAAATTTAAATTGTATTAATTTATTATCAAAAAAATATTTTGAAATTAATTATGTGTAATGGAAGGTTTTTTAAATATATTTGATAAACATTTGTAAGTTTTAAAATTTCCTGTAGTTTTATGTATTTTTCGTTAATACTATAAATTTACATCTTATTTGTCTTAGCTATCAAAATAGAAGCCAATAACCAAACTTCACAGAAAGGAACTGTCGTTTAACATTTTAATATTTTTTAGAGCATTGTATAACATTGTATAGCATTGTATAAGGAAAACGAGTTGTTCCATTCTGCTTCATGTTCCACTAATCAGTATTTGCATAAAGAAATTTGAAAAGTCCTCGATACAGAAACGTAAATGAAATACAAATTGATAGAAGAACTCCATCCTCACTAACTTAATACAGATTATATTATCACTAATTGTGTTTACATTTAAAATTAAACAAATTTACACTACTTTTTATTCTATTGATTAACTCAAATAGCTTGTAATCAGAATCGGTTTTAGGCATGATCGAAATTTGCGAGGGTTAAGGACATGAAAATTGCGATGTTTCATGATATTTGAATAGTTAATAAGGTTTCTTTTCAGTCGCTATTTCAACATAAATGTTATACATTTTTTCACAGGGTACCAAAATAATGCTTACACCAGACACTAAAAGGCCTTTTAGTCTTCTACCAGGTTAAGGTCTTTATTAATTATTTAAAAAAAAAGTAAATTATAACTTAAAAAAAAATTACATTTATGGGCTACGTTGAAAATGTTTTGTTTATACTTGTCTCTAATAAAAATTTCAAAATAGCCATTTTTTTATATATTTTTTTTCAAAAAATTTTGGTGGATCGATAATAACTTAAGGATGGATATTTAAGCATGTCAATAAATAAAGTGTTTATATAGCGCGGTTGTATATCTAATCTATTTATAATGAATACTCTGCCCCGCTACATACTCATTTTATGTAATAAAAGAACTTTAACTCAATAAGTACTTATCCTAAGTTTTAAACGAAATTTTTTGTAAAAAATAGCTGTTTTTAAAAAATTAATATATATTTTTTTTTCTTAGAAAAAAATAAAAAATATGCTTTTAACGTAGTTAAAACTGTAAGTATTATTTTAATAATAATAATGCAAAACATTCACTGGATCAATAGTTGTTAAAGATGTCAAAACCTGGTCGGACAGCCTCTATAACTAATTGTGTATAACAAGTAATGCTGTCCTTAAGCCTTTTAGTGCTTGGTATAAGCATTAATTTGACACCTTGTCAAAAAATGTATGACATTTTTGTTGAATTAGCGACTAAAATGTCATAAAAACTTTTGGGAATATGAAACATCATAATTTTCTTTGAAAAATTGTTTATTTATAAATAGTTTAAAAATAATGTTGAGTACATCAATTCGAGCAGAGCAAGAAAACTTTTATGGTTTTTTGAACTTAAGCACCCTCAAACTCAAAACACTATTTGTGTCTATGTCTAAAAGTTATTTACAATTCGGTACAAAATGAAAAAATATTTTTTAGCTAATATTTCCTGAAGAGCCTCTCATGATTCTACTATCGCAATGATTAAGTAAATTCATGTCACACAAATTTATAGTTGGTTTAATAAATTGCTGACGTGTAAATTTTCTAATGTAGAGCGTTATTTTTGCAATGTAAGTAGTTAACATATAAAAATACAAACATTTTGTTCGGAATTACAATTTATTTTTGCGTGTCATATTACAGGCTATATTTTTTCAAATAGTCAGTTTCCGAGATAAAAGTTCTTGAGAACTTTTTCAATGGACTAACTCTAAGTGAAGTGTTCAATGAATACATTTTTCAATTAATGATTATTAATAATTTTTAGGCATTTAATTTATTGTTTTGTTGTTAAAATATTATTATTATTTAATAATTTAAATAAATCATTTTTTAGGTAAAATGTATGGCTTTATTCGTAGACCATCATGCAACATATTATTTAATATTATTTTATTTTATAATTAGTAGCATTAACATGCTAACGTTGTTCGATGCGTTTACGATAAGATTTCTTTATGTTATTGCACTCTTATTAGAAAACTATTTCAAAGAATTTTCTACTTAATCTAATGCAATAATTTTATACACATTGCAGCACTAGTAAGATTTATTTATATATAAACTTTTGTATATAAGTACAAATAATATTACACTCAGTGGTGTTCTCAAAGGTTTATCTTAAGGGGATATGCTATACAGAAGAAATTTGTTTCTATTTCTTTCAAAATACTTCCTTACTATATATTCATTTATAGGGTTTTTTGTCCCTCATATCCCGCCGTCAGAACACTCATGATTATACTTATACTCTAGCACCTTACTTCATGTATGTAATAGTGTAACTTATGAAATAGAAATGTTTATCGTATAATTAAAACTTAATTGAAATAAAAATAAAATGTCTTAATAAATAAATATGTATATTATTTATAATAAATAAAAATGTATATGATAAAAATGTTCAAATTAATTAACACGTTTTTTTATAGTACAGTAATTAGTTAAATATTTCGCTATTAGTGTATTCTTGAGAAAAAGTTTAAACTGTAAGAAACAGTACTGCGCGCGCACATTGACTGCTAAACGAACACTAGTTATCGGTATATACGGACCGGTCGATTCGAATCCATGTTAAATGGCGTAAGTTAACCAACGACTGCGGCAAAGTGTTGGCTGTTAGTAATTTATTTTCGTTTTATTTTTATCTAACATTCCTTGTATCTGTTTTCTTTTTATATAGTAATTTTGATTAAATAATAAAACACTTTATTCTTCCAAAATGTCATTTTTATATTCTACGACGACTATTGAAAAGGTCGGCATTTTTTTTATTAGTGTACTCATTCTAAAGGTATCGCGGGCAGTATTAAAATTTACTTATCAAAATGTTCTCGCTCCTTCGCTCAATATGAATGTGAATTTTAAGAAAAGTGGCAAATGGGCAGGTGAAGTACTATTTTGAAATTATTAACTGTAACAGAATTGTTAATTTTTATATAGACAACCGTCACTAGTTTGAATATTATTATTAACAATTTCATTAAAAATGATTATAAGATGTTGAAATATATATATGTTTTTTTTTAAATTTAAAAACAACCAACCTGTATAAAATAACTGGGCGAATAATTTTCTATTTAAATAATTTTCTATTTATATTGTAAAATGGGAAATTAAATATGGGCATCACAAAACTCTAAAAATTATAGAACTTATTATTCAGAACATTTTAAAATTTCATAAGGCCTGAATAAGTAGACTTGCGTGTAACATAAGTTAAAAAATATATTTTTTTAAATAATTTATTAAATAATATAAAAATATTAATTCTTTAAAATATTAAATATCTGATAGTACTATAATGTTTACTGTTTGTAAATTTAAAGTACATATTATACAATATTACTTTTCTTGTACTATAGGGGCAATTTGGGGAGTTCTAGAAATATTTTTATCAAGGGAGAAGTTAAGTTAGATCTCCTCAACAATTTAATAAAATTCCACCTATGCTTATTAGCTAAATTACAATTAGTTATAAATATAACGTATTTATTACATGATATAACATTAATATAAAATTAACACTAATTTAGTTATAGTTTGTAAAGTTGCAATATTATCATTTTTAATTTTATTATAGATATTTTCTAATTATATTTTAATTAAATATAATTACTCGTTGAATTAAAATAATTATAATAATGTTAGATTTCAAATAAAATTTGTTTCTTATTTAAAAAATAATCTTTACTGAATTTTATATTTTTTAAATTATTTTAATTTAAATATTTTATGTTAGTGGTAACTGGTGCTACAGATGGATTAGGAAAAGCATACGCAGAACAGGTAATTTTAAAAATCAAACTTAAATTAATTTAAAATGACTTATTACATAAAAGTACTTTTAGTACAGGTGCTTTTAATTAGTTATTCTAACGAAATACTATAAGATTTGTTTTATTTCTTTTAAGTAATGCCGTGAATTGAAATATTGTATCAACGATCATCCAATTTTAAATATTTTAACTATTAATTCAGTGCAATAGATTAAATAAAATAAGAGCCTAGAATGGTATTTTTATTTTAAAACACTTTCCTTTACAATTATGTAGTAATGTCACAATTATCATAGGTGTAAATCGTACATCCTATGCTTAACCTTCTAAAATGTTTAAAAATTACATGTATTATTACAAAAAAATATTTTATAGGAATTGAAAAAAAATAAGAATTTCAAAATGATTAAATGACTTCAAATTATTATAGAAAAATGTTTTTAATGAAAGGTTAAATTTTTATGCACAATTTTTTTTTGTTTAGTAAAAAATATCGCCGATTGTTAACCAAATTCATATTTTTATTAATTGTTGTTTTCACATGAAGTTTGATAATATTTTTATAAATTTTGGGATTTTGATCATAGATTCAGATTATTCGTTAAACTAATAAATATAAATGAAGATTATTTTTCAATCTTACACTGTAGGGAAGTGCATGCTTACAAAAGTTACTTTATATTTTATGCACAATAAGGGATCACTATTAGAATTGTCCTAGAATACAATATATTTCAAGGTCGAATTTGGAGAATGAAGTGTTAAAAAAAAGATTTAGTCATAATCATTATAGTAGAGTTTTTATTTGGGATTGAATTTCTATTTAGACAAAGTTGTCTAAACATGATAAATTATTACTTATTCGCTTAATATGGGCTTATTTTATTAAAATAACTAAGTAATAAGTTGATTATTTTTCGAGGACTTATGTAAAACGATGGAAATAAAAAATATCAATCGACTGTAGTAAATTATACACTTTTTTAGATAATTACTACATATTTTATAATGAAAGCATATTTTTGTATACTTAATTTTTAGGAAATATAAAGAGTATGTAATGATTTATTTATACAATAAAACATTTGCATTTCAAGTAATTAATATATATATATATATTAATTTACATTTTTGGTTTCGATTCGGAGCTGAGAATGTTTTTATTTGTGTCTATCTTTGCAAATTTTTAACTCTCACTAGACCGATTTTGTTAGTCTATGCGTTAAGAGAAATTATTTTACATTTAGTTAAATCAAAGAGCACCAAAAAATATAAAAATTCTTAATTTTCGAATTTAAGAAAGATATCTTAAAGTACGCTACTGTAAAAAATGGCATTTTCAAAAAAATAATTCTGTATTTATAAATTGTTACAACTTTTTTTTAAAAATTGATCCTAATGAAGTTATAATAGAATATACTATTTTTCTTATGATATGCTGTTTATGAAAATCTGTTGGAAAACATTAGTACAAGCGTTTAAAAAAGACTACCCGTGTATTTAAAACAACATTTTCAATTTTTGAAAATAATCTGGAACGTCTAAAAACTTTTAACCTTTATAAAATTAAAGCTTTTAAAGTATACTACAAAATTAAAAAAAATGTTGTCCAAAGATTGTTCTACTTTGAGCAATCGGTCGTCAAAATAAGAAAAACATTTTATTTTAAAATTTTAAAATGTTTTGGGACTCCATGTGTTTTTTTTTAATATTATTAAAAAAAAGTTTGATTTCGGTTGATACAATCTTTGGTTAGTTTTTATTAAGTTATATTAACTTATAAATAATTTCTTTATGTAATTTATACGATGATTAATATAGCTTGCTAATAAAGGATTGAGTGTAGTTCTAATCAGTAGGACTAAGTCAAAATTGGAAGAAACAGCTAAAACTATAAGTGAGTTTACATTAATAAATAATTATTTCTATAGAAATAACATTAAATCACTTATTCTTAATTAGATGAAAAATACGGTGTAGAAACAAAAATTGTCGAAGCAGATTTCACTGATGATGGATCCGAAATGTACGCCCACATTTCCAAAGAATTATTTGGAATGGATATTGGCGTATTGGTAAACAACGTTGGACTTTCATATCCTAATCCTGAATATTTTTTAAACATTGAAACTAGCGATCCTATGTTTGATAATATTGTCAAATGCAACATAGTTTCCGCATTGAACATGTGCCGTATAGTAATGCCCGGCATGGTAGAACGTCGTCGTGGAGTCGTTATAAATATATCATCTACTGCAGCTCAGATCCCTTGCCCCCTACTGACTGTATACGGAGCATCCAAGGTGAATAATTTTAAATATATCATACATGTTAATTAAATAAAATATTTAATTCCATATTTACTCGACTGCAACTGAACATTTTTTAGTATTCTTCTTCTTTTTTCTCGCCTTAATCCCAACTACTTGTGGTCGGCCACCCTTATCCTAAATTTACACTTAAACTAAACATTTTTATTAATATATTAATATGTCACAATATTTATTTTAGAAGCTACAATGGTAATGTTATTATTTTAAACATATCTAGTATAAATATCAAAAATCAATTAAAATTAATTATTTGTTTTTAACTTATTTTAGTAGTGTTTTTTCCTAATTACTAAGGTAGTCACAATTATTAACAAAGATGCACATTTAATCTAATCACATTTTAAATCTAAGTATATCTAAACAATCTCATTACGCGTGACTGATTTCAAATATATTACGTTGTATTAGTGTGGTATTAACATCTAATTATATTATAAGTCATAATTATTAGTATATTCGATAGAATCAACGTCACAAATTATAATGGTAGAATAATAATGACAAAAATACCTATTAAGGGTGTTAATTTATTCGCAGAATTTTAGAAAACGTAATATATATTTTTTAGGTGCATAATGTTTATTTATATGAAATTTATGCAATATAATATTTCAGAAATTATAGTATATCTTCTATAATATTATAAACAAATGATATTATCATTGGTTTAAGGGAAATGAGATTTTAATAGGAAAAAATTTTGTTATATTTATAACAAAATAATACAATATAAACAATACATATGTTGATAACAATATAAAGCTTTTATGAAAATTTTTTTAAATAATCTTGAGTTCTTCTTTCCATAGGATCAAATACATTTATATGTAGATTACTTAGATAAAATTATGAACATTTTCAAATAGTATACTTGAAATTTTGTGATTACATGCTTTAGAAAACTTTGCCTATAAATAATGATTGATACTTATTTATTTATAATTTTCTAAATTCAAAAAAAAAAAAAATAAGAATTATTTCAAATTTTGATATTTTAATAGTAACTATTGAAATATACAAAATTTGAGAAATACAAAAAAGAATTATTGCTTTTTATGTAACATAAGGAACATAAAAAGTATAATTATGTAAAATTTTTACGAAATTTTTCGTAGAAAAACAATTAAAGAATGTTATTTCAAGACAAAAATAGTTTTCTAACTCCTATTTGATTTTATATAACCTTTTAATAATAAATTGTAACTATTTTGTTTTATATTTAAGTTTTTCTATATTACTAATAACATTAAAATATTGTTATGAATTAATCAATACAATTTTGACATACATACATAATTATTATATTAATAAAGAAATTAATTATTGAATTTTCTAACAATAACTTTATAGACAAAGAAATATTATATATCTTTCAGAAATTTGTTCAAAAATTAAGTGAAGAACTTAACACAGAATATAAAAGTTCTGGTATTACTGTTCAATGTGTTATTCCCGGATATGTTGCAACAAAAATGAGTAAAATCAGTAAACCAACATGGATGGCACCTACTCCAGAAAAGTTTGTCAAATCAGCTCTTCAAACAACTGGTATTGAATGTGTTACGACGGGATATCTACCACATACTTTAATGGCAAGTTTTTTATTTATTTTTTATAATCACTTAGATATTAAAAATGCATATTAATTTTATTATTTTTTAAGATATTTAAAATAGTCACTTGCCCCTTTTTAAACTGCTTATTCTAATGAATTATGTTTTGAACCCTTTTAGCGCTAAACTTGAAAATATAGTAACGTTAAAAAGTCAAACGCAAAAAAAATTATTAACGTTTTAATATTAAGAACATAAAACATAAACTTTGTATAATGTTTAAACGTTAACGTTATAATAGATTTAAACGTCAACAGAAAAACAATTTTTTAACCTGACTTCTGATTTATACATTAAAACTTTGTCATAAAGTGAAAAAGTAACTTAATTTTTATTTTCATTTTCTCCGTGAGTTAAATATATAGTTGATTCAAACACGTTCCAAACTGAATTGAACTCTCTACGTGTTTTGCTAGTTGCTGACCAATCTATTGAGGAAGGACGACTCCGGCGAAATTTTACCTTTCTATCTGTGTTATTATACACCATCGCAAACAGGGTCAATGTCAATGCAACGAGAGAGTCCATAAAATCGTTTCGTGTATATTTTAATAGCCGGACCATGAATAGTAATCGTAAAATTACTTTACGAAATCTATTTTTATAAATATATTTATACCGTATGAGTTCTGAAATTATATCAAAAAATGATTGGTTTATATTTGGGAATTATGTACTGTAGCAATTAGATTAATTTATAACAGGAAATACAATAACATAAAAATTTAAAGGAAGATATTTGATTCGTATGGTTGTATTTCTCTTATTTAGATCTAAAAACGCAAATACTATTTAAAAGAACTTTTAAAAGTTGCGAAAAATTATTATATATTAATGTTACTGTCATAAAGTGACAGCTCTAAAAATATTAATATTTTCTAATAAAGTTATAACTTTATTTAAGTTATATTGTTTAAGATATTAATTAAAAATTTTCCAGTTTCAAACATTTTATAGTACACATATTATTTGATAACTTTGAATATATAAATAGTTATATTTAATGACATATTTATTATTTTTCGATTTTCTTTACAAAAAAATGTATAAGATACTATTTTCATTGTTCCAAAAAATTATTTTTTTTGGTCAATTTAAAGTTTTTGTATTTTTTATATTTATGTAACTAGTTTATTATCTTAAACAAATTTCAGACTTATTTTTAAACCTTCAATTTAACTTTTTTATTTCTATTAATTATTAAAACCTAACCCCTAAGCCAATACGTGGCACTACATTTTTAGATTTAACAAATAAAAACAAATTTATGATAAAACGTATAAATATGTTACATTTAGTCAAAATTACGTGTATAAATTATATACTTCTTTAATACTACTTATCACAAAATATTGTGATTGATTTAAAATTTTTAAACAATACTAAAGCAGCAGTAAAGATATCACACAAACGTGAAAATTCATTTATAATGATCGTACAATTGGCTTATTAATGACATAGGTGTCTGACAGTTATTAAATTGTTAGTTAAGAAATAGTTTACAATTATTATTTATTTTAATTTCAGGTGAACTTCATTAATATTGTTAATATGGTGTCTCAGTCTTTTATAGCAAGTATTATTATGAAGAATATGTTAAATATTCGTGCTCGAGCTTTAAGAAAAGCAAATCTTAAATAGACTTGGTTTGATCTCTGTTTGCTTTTATGCAAAGTATTTTTACTTAACTATTAGTAAAATTTTTTTTTTTTAATATTTAAATTAAATTGCAACTTATGTTGTTAAATATTAAGTACGTTTAATATACTTGTTAAATAATCTGTTGTAAGTAGAAACGATGTATTGATGTATGATCATATTTAAATAAAGAAAATAAATTTTGTAAACGACATATGTAATTAAATACATATGTATTGATTATATATTTTATTGTATGTAGTAAATTGTAGAAATAAATATCTAACAACAGATCTTGTTTAGATCTGTTGTTACACCTCTCATTGAGACACCTCTCATCAGAATTAAATTCATAGGCGGATTTAGGGAACATAATTTGGAAGGGCCTGATAGTAATTTACACATTTAATAAATATTTTTAAACATTATTAACAATTTTCTTATTTTTCTTGGCCGACCTCAAGTAGTTGGGATAAGGCGAGGGAAAAGATGAAGACAAATAATTTTCTTATTTTTTTTTTTGGGAAAGAGGCATAGCTCCTAAAGCCCCCTAATTCTGCCTATGGTTTAACCAAAACTGAAATATTTCTTCTAGATTGTAAGTTCTAGGAAATCTTTGTTTGGACTAATTTTTGTAATTAAAAAATTTCAAAAGTAGTCTAAATTGTACATTAACTTATTATGAATTTACACGAAAAATTGTAATGAGTGCATAGACGCAAATAGGGTGGGGTTAGGGGGCCTTAGTGCCCTTATAATTACCCTAGGTTTTCTACTGTTCAATAGATTAAACCTATTTATTTTTTTATTGTTCTTGCATTATACACACAGCTACTGTTTATCAGTTAATAATGAATATCGTAGAATGTAGTAAAAAAAAGTATAAATGAAGTCTTAAAATAATATTAGCTTCTATCGTAATATAAAGTATAACCGTGGACTGTGTATTTTATACATAGGCCATCTTCTGCAATGATAAGACATGGCTTCACTTAAATATATTACAAGAAAGATTCAGCAGTTTAACGATATTTTTATCAAAAAGATATAAAAATTAATGTAACGTCTGTTTTAAATACTTTTGCGTTGTCTAATAAACGAATAAATTTAACATTGTAAAAATTAATTATTTAGTTAAAATATAATACTTTTTACGTTATAAATACAGTACATAAATACTTCAGTGTTTATGTGTTCTTTGTAGTCATTGAACAATGATTATAGTATAATCTACTCTAATATCACAAAATATTTTGTGCATAATTTTTGTAGTTGAAATGTTATAATATATATATATATTATATAAAAAAATTTTTGTTACTTGATATCGAGGGTAGCGAGATAAATTTGTCTCGACTTAAGTTCTCAAATCTCAAATACAATTGACGCTTATGAATGAATGAATACTTTTAAATTATTTCCACAAGAAAAATATTAAAAACTAGTATATCTCGTTTTCTCTACTGTAATAAAATTAATTATTAATAAAATAAATTTTAATATTTTCCAATATAACGTGACTAGATGAAAAAAAAAAGACTTATTTTTTTGGTTTTCAGTAAAATCACTATTATATATGATAGGGGTTGGGAGGTAAATTGGGACTCCCAATTTTCACACTCTTCCTATTTTTTAAGGTAACTATCACTATTAGTTATCCCGTAATAAAAAATAGTATTTAATTTTTAAAATATGTTTTTAAACATTATTCGACTTTATAGTGGTTTTTTATACAAAAATTGTTTTTTACTTGCTGTTGTTAGGAATATGCTTTAATACGTTGATATATAAAAAAAATAAACCTGATATAGAATGATTTACACAAAAATAGGATAATAAAGAGTACATCTGGTCACCCTAATGTATGATATTTTTTTAAATTTTTTGTTCAGTATACTTTTGATCAATACTGTTAAGGTCATACCTCACTTAAATCTTGTAACAAAAAGTCATAAATAAGTAATTAGAATAATTAATTATTAATTTATTCACTTGGTCAATTTACTGTCTTAACAAGTAATGAGGTCAATACATAATTTGAACTAGTAGTAGCTAATACTATTATAAAAATATTCTGTTAACAATAGTTTATGAATTCATTTTGGTAAATATTATTATACATGTCAACTACAATTCTAATAAACGATAATATAACATTTTTTATTTTAGCNTTCATTTTGGTAAATATTATTATACATGTCAACTACAATTCTAATAAACGATAATATAACATTTTTTATTTTAGCGGACTATACAAAAATAAAACATTTTTATTTCAAATTTAATAAGTGTAATAATTAATTAATTTAAATAAATTTTAACTTTAAAAGTCAACCTAATGAATACTACCGAATTAATAGGAATATTTTTTATCGGCGTAATCCTTTTTAATATATTGAGATTACTATACATTCAGTTCTTAGCTCCATACTTATATTATAATTATGTTGATAATTTGTTTAAAGCTGGAAAATGGGCAGGTAAATTACATATATTCAACAAATGATAATATTTAAAAACATATTTAGTATCATATACTTTGTCAAAGGTGCCCATAAAATAATATTCACAAGAGGCAAAATTTCTGATTATATTTTTCTTTTGCTTATCATTATAAGTTAATATATTTACATTATACATAATAATAATTATAATTTTTATTAAAAACGCCCAAATGGCAAAAGTTGATTTTAGTCATTGTATATACATACCATATTTTATACATATATACATATGATGTATATATGTACATACATCATATTTTAAAAACGCTAGAATTGTAAGGCCTCCAAAAAACCTAAAAATCCTGAAGGTTTGGTACAGTGCACCACCAGAAAATTCATTAATCCGCTAATTACATGATTACACTAGTATTATATAACGTGCATTTAGTGCAGTAATAATTAAGGAAGATATTGAATTAAAGTTCAGATAATGAAAATAAATGGGGTCATAATAAATGAATTGAACATACATTTTTTAAGGCCTGTTATTATTTTTAATTAAACCAAGAATAATTTCTAGATACTTAACGATTAATATTTTTCAAATTTTATAAGTATTTTCTGAATATTCTTAGATGAAAAATGTTTACAAATACTATATTTATTTACATTTACTACATTGCATCTAATACTAATATTCTTGAATATCGTACCAAAAAACATTTAAATATTTAAACAAAAAAAAAATTATATGTGATATTTTAAACTATTCTAACAGTAAAAATGATAATATGTACTTCAAATTTAAATATAATTTATGAAAAGAAAAATTGTTGGATTAACGCTTTTTGATGAATTTTCATTTTGTATTTTAGGGTAACTCGTTTAGTAATCGAACAAATAAGAGTTTATTGAACTTCAAAAATATATAAAAGATATATTACTACAAATTAACTTCTAATACTTGGTTATAAAATCAATAATTTCATATATTCTTAAATTTTAACACTTAACGATATCAAATAATAAACAAATCGATTAGATTTAATTTAAAAAATCCCAAGAAGGACCTATAATTGAATGAAATTTTAATTGCTCGTTGTATAATTATTTGTTAATATAAATGTTTTAAATTTTCTTATTTAAGTCATGTATCACATAATAACAAAATATCATTATTATGATGATTAAGAGTTAATAATAAAAATAATATTAATGATATTAATTTATGAACAAGGTGTTCAGTAACATGACTAGTTACTCTACTAGCTTTTACTATTAAATATAGATAACAATTTGATTGCGAAAACTCAATTTCATTTACTTATTAAAAAAAAATATTTATTTATATAGTTGTTACTGGATCAACAGACGGAATTGGAAAAGCATATGCTGAACAAGTGCTGATTTTATTAAGATGAATATTACTTTTAAATTTAATGTATTGATAAGGAAAATTGAATATTTATTTTTTTAGCTGGCGAGTAAAGGAATGGATATAGTCCTTATCAGTAGAAGTAAAACTAAGTTAGAAAATGTATCTAGTTGTATTAGTAAGTAAATAATCACATAACATTTTTTAATCACTAAATAAACATATTTCGAGTTTTATGAAATATCTGAAATTATGATTTTGTTAATGATTGTATACTAGGGTGTCTCTTATTTTGATCATTTTTGTAAAATCTTGCTACAAGGATTTTTCTTTTTCTTTGGGATAAAAAAAAATAATGTTCAAATTTTTGGGGCATAATCTTAGTTTTTTATTATACCGTCAGCGATTGAATTTATTTCATTCAAATATGTTAAATTTATATTTGCGTGAAATTGACCACATTTTACTACATTAACACCTTAAGCATACGCAAAGTGTTTTTGAGCATAATTTTAAGTTGACTTAAAGCCCGTAAAATTTCCCATCAATCGACATATATTTTATATTTTTGTGTTTTTTCTCAACTTTCAAAATAAATTTGAAAAATAAATAAATTTCAATGTCTTTTAAATAAGAAAGTTTCAATAAATGACGGGCACAGTAAAAAATCAATATATGGAACCAAAATTTTGGAAATCATTTTTTTTATCCCAAAAAAATAAATAAATAAAAACAATTTGGAGTATGGTTTTACGAAAAATACCAAAATAAGAAATACTCTAATATATACCTATAAGAATATAAACATAGAATATTTATAAGAAATTTGTTGAACACATAAACCCTCATCCCATTATTTTTAATTTAATATAATTATATAAATCAAAAACGTAGTAAGGGGGTTTAAAACCTCCTTGTATATGATAAATATAAACTTCAAATACACAAACTTGTCAACATTTTATTGCAGAGAACATTAAGAAGTATTTTTTTTAATGTTTAGATATTTGAAAATAAAAGAAAGTGACTTCAATTATTTTTTAGACTCTTAATGCTGGTTGGGATATCTGGGAAATGTATCGTTCTTTAATTAGTGATTTTAAGTAGTCACAAAAAATATGACAACCTTACTATACATAAAATGTACTTAAGATCTAAAAAATTTTGTACAAAATAAATCATTTTTAAGGAAAACTTCCAAAATTAATTTTTAAAAAATTTTTGGGAAAATATTTTTAAGAGTAGAGTTTTTTTTATTGGAATTGCGTTTTTTTTTTAAATAATAATATTTGGGTTGATAGTGTAGAACACTAATCAATTTGTTTTAGCTTCGATGCGAAGCGGAGAAGGTATTAATTTTACTATGATGTGTTTTTTTTTTTAATTTTACTATGATGTGTTTTTTTTTTTTTTT